TTTGGTAAGCATGGATTGTGCAGATTGAGCTTTGATAAATGAGTTCTTTTGACCTCAAAACAAAAACAAAACTTTTCAGGTTGAGAATTTTTCCCTAGATTTAGGAGTGTGCTGGCTTCCCAGAAAAAGAAATCTTTAAATATATTTTGAGACTAGTATAAGAATAATTTTGAACATCAAGGATTTTCTAAAGACCTAAAAAAACAAAACAAACAAAAAAAACAACAAAAAGTAACAGCCTTTAAAACACCAAGTTATGTTAGAGACTGAAAAAGGTAACATTATTTGGAAATCTTAGTCATAGCATAGAGAAAAAGTGTCAATCTTTTTAGTCAGTGAAATTTTAACAACTTTAATTTTGGGGAATTTCCTACCTTCTCAATTTTGAAGGGTGCAGAGCTATCTTTCCATTATATAAGCCCAAAAGGCCACATGACAATTTTCTAGCCTCCACTGTAGTTAAAGTATGCACATACAACCCAGGCTGGCCAATCATACTCTTCCACACGGGTATTTGAATCAGCTTCTCCAATCTTCCTGGTAACTCTTCATTTATTTTTTTGTACCAGGGATCAAACTTGTGTCCTTGAACTTAAAAGGCAGGTGGTGGAACCACTGAGCCAAATCCCTGACCCTCCAATATATTTTTAATGGATTACTTTTCTGCCGAAATCAGACAGTTTCAGTTGATATTGCTTAAAACCCCAAACAAGTATTTAGTAATCCTAAAATACCTCATTTTAACAACAAGCCTTTTAAACCACAGACAGATTCCCACCCCAGAGAAATTGGAGTTAATCAAAATGAATTACAGGAAGCTATGTGAAGAGCTGAATTTAAAGCACTTTGCCCAAGTTGGCCTATGCTCTTAATCCTTTTGATTTTCAATTTAAAAACTGAATTTTAATGGCACTTTTTGTCTTAAAATATATTGCATTTTCTTTTAGGAGTATAGTGAGAAGATCCTTAGATTATTAGTAATACTAGAGTTGCTGGACTTTAGTGTGAGCCAAAACAGCTTTTGTTCCAACGTGGAAAACAAAAAAATCAACAGATACATCTAGAACTTTATTCAGCATGTGATGCTAGATGCCTGCAAGATACTCACAGATCAAAACGAGACCCCAAGACACGCACCATTAAACTGGCTGGCCACTACGGTTGCATTTGCAGGCTTGCTCTCCCCCTTTTATCTGCGTCCTCAGGGGCTCCTCGGGAATTGTAGATTGTGGTGGAAGGAATAACATGCACCAGAGGGAATATGAAAGATGTTATAACAGAAACACTAGCCTGCATACAACCTCCTGAACGCTTGCTCCTTAGAGCTGTGCTTAGGACATTGAACCATTCTCCCTTCGTGATGTTCAATGGGCACTAATGTGCTCAATAAAATCTTTGAAAGATGATGCAGATTTGCTTGGCACCGGTACCCAGGAAATTGACAGCGACGACTAAATGAAGGTGGATAAAGCTCTGGAGAAAGGAAGGAAATTGTCAATGGCTCTAAAAGCAAGGGGGGGCAATGTATAGAAATAAATGCACAACTGAGTCCACTGTATTCTGTTGACATAAATAAAAATGCTTAGAGTAAAGCTATTAAAATGTGACTCACTATGATCAACTTTTGTCCAAACTCTATGTGTAATGAGAGGAAGGTTTCGCAGGCTGGCTAATCATATAAGCATTGTAACCAGGCACCTTGCCCAATCCTGGCTTGCTTCCTACTAGCTGCCTGGCCTTGAATAAGTCACTACATTGAATCACCATTTTTTTCCATTTATAAAAACTGTCCTTAGAAATAAGCAGTTAATAGTTTTTGAAGATTGGTAAAAGAATATTTATGTCATTAACATATGCCTAATGCATGGTAAGTGTGTATTAAATTATAACAATGGCTATTATGATCGACAGCCTCAGGCTTGGAAGCTAAGCTGTAGAACCTTCTCCTGGGCTGGCTCTGTGAGTTGGCTGCAGGAATCTGTTTCTGAGTGTTTTGTGTTTTGGCAGTGACTTCTCTTTACTGGTTGGTTCTGTCCTTTACTGCTGGTACACATGATGCATTCTGAAAGACACCTGTTCTTCGATTACCAGTCCCCATTCTGATGTCAGGTAGAATTTAAATGTGATAACATCCTGCATTATTGAAAATAACAAAACAAAATGAGTGATCAACATCCCTCTGCTTTGGTGGCTGATCTCTGTCTCTCTCCTTACAAATGTCACCTCTCCTGCTGCAGCAAAGCTAGAGAGGCAGGACAAGTCCAGCCTGGAAGGTTTCGGGCACTTTCTTTCCACCGGCATTGGAAGACTAAGATTCTCCATTTGGCCTTTTGAACAACCATTTACTCAGCTATCACAAAAGTGCTCATTTGCAAGGCACACTACAAATATCAGCTGATATGCAACTCATTTGCAAAGCATGTCATCTCGTTTCTTTCCTGCAGTTTTTGTTTTGGTATCACCGCCACCCAACCCTAAGCTTGACATCTTTGGCTCCTTTGGATTTGTTTTCTGTAATATTTATTTCTCAGATTTCTCATGTTGCTTCTCTTTTGGCCTATTCCCCTGGCCCCAGGCATTTCTTTAGAGAGAAAAAAAATACCCTGTTCTATTCAGACTTCACAGAACATGTGATCCTTTTTTAAATCATTCTTTTAAATGTGTGTTAAGGTAAAGATCACCATTCTAGAAATCCTTTTATTTATGTTCAAAGTCCAACTTTTTTTGTACTTTCCACCTCAGTCTCCATATTTCATTTGGAAATTGATGTTTATATTGCTAAAACTATCCTGTGAGATCAAATGAGATATATAAAATTTTAAGTGCTTTATAAACTACAAGGTTATTGTTAACTACTCAACACTGAAATAAATGACAGCTACTAAAGGGTCAGCAGGTAATAAAAGGAACTATAATCTCTCTTGTCCAAAATAAATATCCATTTTTCCTTAGATATATTTCTTGAGTTGAGCCCTAATGCTAGACCCTTAAAGCAAAGTAATAGTCTCCAAGTGCAGAAAAATTAGAATTTTTTTCACTTTTGTTCTTAGCATTATTTATTCTGAGCTTTTAAGTGTCTCTGATGAAAAGAAACATTTATTAAGATGAACATTTTAATTTGCCTCTTGGAAAATTAGGTTGGTGACGATGTAAGATTTTGGTTATATTTCTGCATATAAGATACATTTTCTTCTTATTGTAAGAAAACATGTTTATACTTGT